AGTTTTGGAGGATAGTCTCGCACGAAAGCGTTTTGAGGAGATAGCAGATGCACGAAACCCTATGTTTTTCCATACAAAGTCCGTCCCCGAACCTCGATGATCTACCTCTGCGGTGCGACGGGTGCGAGACGGTCTCGTGTGTGGTCGGATCATGGTCGGATCGGTCTCGGATCATGCTCGGACCATGGTCGGATCGGTTCCGCATTGTAAATGGGGTTTCAAGTGTTTTTCGTGCATGCGCGGTCGACAGAATTCCATTGTGATTTGCAACTGTAGGATCGTTCCCGCAATGTAAATGGGATTGCAAGTGGTGCTGGTGGATGAGTTGCCGATGGAATTCCCATTGTGATTTGCAACTCTAGGATCGTTCCCTCACTGTAAATGGGGTTGCAAGTGGTGCTGGTGGAGGAGTTGCCGATGGAGTTTTGAAGGAAGTCTCGCACGAAATGTGTTTTTGAGAGATAGAAGATGCACGAAACCATGTGTTTTTCTAGACAAAGTGCGTCCCCGAACGTCGATGATCTACCTCTGCGGTGCGACGGGTGCGAGACGGTCTCGTGTGTGGTCGGATCATGCTCGGATCGGTCTCGGATCATGGTCGGATCGGTTCCGCATTGTAAATGGGGTTTCACCTGTGTTTCGTGCATTTGCGGTCGACAGAATTCCATTGTGATTTGCAACTGTAGGATCGTTCCCGCAATGTAAATGGGATTGCAAGTGGTGCTGGTGGATGAGTTGCCGATGGAATTTCATTGTGATTTGCAACTGTAGGATCGTTCCCTAATGTAAATGGGATTGCAAGTGGTGCTGGTGGATGAGTTGTGGAGGATCCGATGGAAGATTCCAAACCCTATGTTTTCCATACAAAGATTTGCAACGGTCTAGGGATCGGATCGTCTTCGGATCATGGTCGGATCTTCTCGGATCGTCCGCATTGTAAATGGGGTGTCACCTGTGTTTCGTGCCTTTTGGCGACAGAATTCCATGGTGATTTGCAACTGTAGGATGTTCCGAGCATTGCGTTGCATGGGGTTGCAAGTGGTGCTGGTGGATGAGTTGCCGATGGAATTCCATTGTGATTTGCAACTCTAGGATCGTTCCCTCACTGTAAATGGGATTGCAAGTGGTGCTGGTGGAGGAGTTGCCGATAAGTTTTGAGGAAGTCTCGCACGAAATGCGTTTTTGAGAGATAGCAGATGCACGAAACCCTATGTTTTTCGATACAAAGTCCGTCCCCGAACTCGATGATCTACCTCTGCGGTGCGACGGTTGCGAGACGGTCTCGTGTGTGGTCGGATCATGGTCGGATCGGTCTCGGATCATGGTTCGGATCGGTTCCGCATTGTAAATGGGGTGTCACCTGTGTTTCGTGCATTTGTGGTCAACAGAATTCCATTGTGATTTGCACCTGTAGGATCGTTCCCGCAATGTAAATGGGATTGCAAGTGGTGCTGGTGGATGAGTTGCCGATGGAATTCCATTGTGCTTTGCAACTGTAGGATCGTTCCCGCAGTGTAAATGGTTGCGTCAAGGTTGCTTCGTGCCGTGGCTGCATTGGTAATACTATTGTCTTTTGCAGCTGGACTTCGTAAATCGTATTGGAGTGGCTGCATGAAGGCTGCCACAGTGATTTGTCAGCAGATTTTCTTCATTTTGGCGCTAGTGAATTTCCTTCTAAAAATCCTTTTAAAAAGTGCTTCAAAATCGTCTTTTTTTCGCTCTGGCGTCGAGATCCATCCGGTTTTGGAGCTACAATTTCCGACGCCGTTGTGCGTAGTTCTATTGTGTTTTGCAACTCAGTCTCTGCAGATCGCATTGTAATGGCTGCGTCAAGGTTGCTTCGTGCTGTGGCTGCATTGGTAATACTATTGTCTTTTGCAGCTGGATCTCGTAAATCGTATTGGAGTGGCTGCATGAAGGCTGCGACAGTGATTTGTTAGCAGATTTTCTCCATTTTGGCGCTAGTGATTTTCCTTCTAAAAATCCTTTTAAAAAGTGCTTCAAAATCGTCTTTTTTTCGCTCTGGCGTCGAGATCCGGTTTTGGAGCTACAATTTCCGACGCCGTTGCGCGTAGTTCTATTGTGTTTTGCAACTCAGTCTCCGCAGATCGCATTGTAATGGCTGCGTCAAGGTTGCTTCCTGCTGTGGCTGCATGCGTAATACTATTGTCTTTTGCAGCTGGACTTCGTAAATCGTATTGGAGTGGCTGCATGAAGGCTGCGACAGTGATTTGTCAGCAGATTTTCTCCATTTTGGCGCTAGTGAATTTCCTTCTAAAAATCCTTTTAAAAAGTGCTTCAAAATCGTGTTTTTTTCGCTCAGGCGTCGAGATCCGGTTTTTGAGCTACAATTTCCGATGCCATTGCGCGTAGTTCTATTGTGTTTTGGAACTCAATCTCTGCAGATCGCATTGTAATGGCTGCGTCAAGGTTGCTGCGTGCTGTGGCTGCATGCGTAATGTCTTTGCAGCTGGATCTCGTACATCGTCTTGGAGTGGCTGCATGAAGGTTACGAAATGGATTTGTTAGCAGATTTGCTCCATTTTGGCGCTAGTGTTTTTTGTTGCACGTAGGTTTAGAGCAGTGTGAAGTGTGGGGCGTGAAGAGTGCAGTGTGAAGTGTGAAGTGTGAAGGAAGCAGTGGGAAGTGAGAAGTGTGAAGTGTGGAGTGTGAAGTGTGAAGAGTGTGAAGTTTAAGTTTGGAGTGCGAAGCGCGCAGTGTGAAGTGTGAAGTGTGAAGTGTGAAGTGTGAGGTTTGGAGTGTGAAGGAAGCAGTGAGAAGTGAGAAGTGTGAAGTGTGAAGTGTGAAGTGTGGAGTGTGAAGTGTGGAGTGTGAAGTTTCAGTTTGGAGTGCGAAGAGGGCAGTGTGAAGTGTGAAGTGTGAAGTGTGAGAGTGTGAAGTGAGAAGTTGTGAAGTGTGAAGTGTGGAGTGCGAAGAGTGCAGTGTGAAGTGTGGAGTGTGGAGTGTGAAGACTTTGCTTCGTCTCTCGCTGAAAAAATCAAACGGTTGTCGAGGGAAGGACACGGTCGGGACAGGGTGTCTTTGAACTATAGGTCATTTATTTTTGGGAAACTTCCGCCGCCGGCTTGCCCGGGTCTATGTTATGAAGATATATATATATATGTATGTATGTATGTATGTATATATATATTTATGTAATCAATTATACGTGTATATATAGTAATCATGTGTTGACAGTAGGGTTTCATGAGGCAGATAGTTAGAATCAGTAATTATCCAGCATCCAGCGGGTCAGGTCCACAGACAGGAAGCCTCCATTGCTTTTTGGGATCAAGCAAACGGCCAGGCAGCTAGCCAGACAAACAGAGCCTCGACAACTGCTGCTGGCTGGGCTGCCTGCATGGCTCTGTCTTGATTGTGTGTCTGACGCGGAGGCTGACTGGCTAGCTGCCTGGCTGTTTGCTTGATCCCAAAAAGCAATGGAGGACTCCAGCCAGCTCAGAAAGACCTTGCAGACAGCAAGGCAGAGGGGTGGCTCTCACTCTCTCAGGCAGCAAGACAGACTCATGTCAGCTAAAAATTGCTCAGCTAGAGCAGCCAGGCAGCTTGGATTCAGGGGTTGGGATCAAGGACCCTAATAATAAACACGCCGGGGTTAACTAGTTTTTATTATTAGGGGGCAAAACCCACAAATGGTAGCTTTATTTTTAAATTGTTTTCTAAAAAGGATCAATTAAAAGTCACATGGGCCAACCGGAAATTTTCCAAACTGGGAGATGGACCCTAGTTTTTAGTATTTGGGGGTTTAGTAACAGGGGGAAAGGATTAATAAGCTATAAAGGTTTGTGAGCCCCACAGTTGTTCATCAGTTTTCTGGATGTGATTTTCGTTTCAAACTTGAAATCCAACTTTTTTAAAATTCCAATTTGGTGGCATTTTCTCACAAAAAAAACCCGAGGGTTTTCCCATTCAACTGGGTATTTCCTGGCGGGACATGGAAAATCATTTGGGGCTATGGCGGTTGAGAATCTTCAGCGCTGCTATCAACATATCAGCTGTATTGCAAACGATACCCCCCGGTAAACTAACATAGCAATGGAAAATCACAATTTTTAATGGGAAAATCAACACAAATGGCCATGTTCAATAGCTATGTAACAAATTACCAGAGGGTAGTCCCAAATCGTGTATGGAATCTATAAGCTACCTGAAATGATGAAAAATGACTCCTAGAAGTGACGATGTTTGGCTTCCAGTTTGAACCTCAGGGCCATCCTAAATCAAATGATATTGGACTATCACAGATACACGCTAAACCTTTACAGATGATGGGACTTGACGTATGATACATAGACCTATCGACGTTGGCACCTCTCTTTTCCAGCCAGAAATTGATCACCAAGTGTAAATTACCACTAGTACTTCAATTTGATCAATGCTGAACGTTAGACTTATAGTAACCCTTAAAAGTTAGAACGTTAAAATCCTCCTAAACAACTTGTAGGTGGCCCTCTTTCTATTTTTGTTTGTTTTTTTACATTAGTGTAAATGGTTCAAAATGACATCTACCATTTGGTAATTGAACTTCAGACTTAGCAATGGAACATCACTATTCTTGACTCAACTATTGATGGACCATCTATACCATGCAAGCTGTTAAATTACTGGAGGGTACATTAGGGTAAATAGCCTATTGTTAGATCATTGTATTCCAGATTATATCCCATTGTATTCCCACTATATTCCCATACTTGCTAGTCAGAGTCAAATCCCATTAAATCTTATTACATCACCACGATATTCACATATTTGCTAGTTAAATCCCATTAAAGCCCATTAAAGCCCATTGAATCTCATTATATTCCATGATACCCCAGTATATCTCATCACCATTCTCCCATGAAATATCCCTTGATATAGATGATGTCCCTTTGAAATATCCCCACATCCATATAATCCCACGGCATTGGTTTTTCGTCGCGCAGTCAGCGTGCGCATTTCAAATCCGTGGACTTTGGACAGCACGACGAGGACGTGTCCTATACCCCGATGTCCAGCTCTGAGGATGGCACTTCGACAGCAGCCATGGGAGATACCCAGAATATCCCATGGCCATGGCCTGGAAAATCCATCACTGGTTGGTGGTGACTGGAACCATGGAATTTTATCATTTTCCATATATTGGGAATGTGCAGGTAGCTTGAATGATGTTCAGGTTCCAACGCCAGTTCAGCCAAGAATCGTCCAATCCGTTGCTACCAGTCGCAGACAAATAGTAAAGGATAATCGAAACACACACACCACGTAAATGTCTTCTCTAAGACACAGATCAAAGCGGACAGCTCAAGTCCTTTTCATGGCGCAGCACACATGTCGGCATTACAAGAGGGCCCTCTGTTTTGGACCAAAGGATGGCGGTGTGGTCGAAGAACTCATACCTGCACAACGGTGAGAAATCAGATCAACTGCATCACCACAAAATTCTTCTGAGTTCTTCGTCCCATGCCATTGTTGCATTTGTTTAATTGGAGAGCCTTTGGTGGCGTTCTCCTTGCGAGATGACTGGATGAAGCTGGGATCAAACTTCAGCATCCAGACTCGCTTTTGAAAAAAGTACTCCATGGATTTGCGACATTCCGGTTTCTTCTTTGTCATGGAGTCTGCAAGATTCCAATCACTAGCCAGCCAAAGCAAATTGGTCAAACAACGTGGAATGGACTCTTTGAGTTGAAACGCTTGGATGGCTGACCTTGTGTTGGAAAGACCAAGCATAGGGCTTTCGTTCACCATGATGCTATCATATCCACCCTTGCTGTCAGTGCCTAGAATACCAGGGACTAGACGCACTTCCTTTTCGGAAGCTTCCAGCAAATCGGCTCTGGAACCTGTTCCTACAGTGGCAGCAGAATTGATGGCTGCCCACAACATGCGAGTTCTAAAAAGGACATCTTCGGTTTCTACCAGGCTCTGTACTTCGGCGTCGTTTGTGCCGATGCTGACACGTTTCAGCTTCCAGGTCTTCCAAGTGACTAAGATCATGGGAGCTGGTAGGCCAACAGTTAAATCCCTGTTGCTCAAGAAAATCAAAAGACCACCTGTGCTACCCCCTTTGGGTCTGTTTTGGTGGGCTTGATCTCCTAAACCTACAACTACAATCTGTGACCAATGGTTCACTTTGGGCAAACGGAAAAACTTCAAAACGGTGCTGGATTTTCTGAGTTCCCGAATGAGCTCTTGCAGTTCTTGGGCCAGTTGCATAGTTGGCTGCTGGGCCAGCTCGGAGAGAAGCAAATTGCAGCGAGCACATGCTAAAGGCTGAGTCTGCACAGCAACCCATTGAAGAGCACCAATCGCCGCTCGGCATGCAGAGATCTCTTTCGGAGTCATCAAGGAAGAGGACATAGAGAATCTTTGAGGGTCAATCTGCACATCTTCCAACATCTCAATGTAGTAAGATTGATCAACCACCAAACATCTGCCATAGATTGGATCGGTCTTCATTGAGAGATCTGTTCCAGCATGTCTGTACTCATTCTTCTTCAATTGCCCCCACTTGTACATGGAGTCGATGGAAGCACGTATTTTCAGCCAGCGTTCATCAGAGACATCGCCTGCCCTGTGAAAATCATCCACATGGCCAGCCATGAATCCCAAGGTTTTCCAACGGAAGGATTCTTCATCTTTGGGATCATGAGGTGGAACTTTGGTAGGATCAGCAGGGACTCGCCAGAGCCAAAAGCAACCATCTCCAATGATTCGAAGGGCTCCAAGCTTGATCATGGACTCATTGATGTTGCGCCAGAGGTTTCGTGGCGCAGTCTGTGAGCCATAGAAGTCTTTGAGGATTCTCATGATGCCATGCTCAGGCAAATTGAGAGCATCACGAAGTTCCTTGACTCCAGTTGTCCACAATTGCTTGGACTCTTCTGTGGGCAGCGTCTGAAGAAACGCTGTAGCTAAGTCCAACCCCTCAATCTCCCAGCCTTCTTGAAGAACAAGCTGATAGCTCAAATTTCGAGTGAGAACTGCTTGAACAGGACTTGCAGTTTGATGACCAGCAGAAAGAAGATCTGGATGCTCAAAACCAAGCAAGACAATCCTTGCTTTCGCCTTCTTTTTGCCATCGCCAGTCAAGGTGGTTTCCTGAGGTTTCTTCTGCAGCTCTTGTAGGGCTTCGGTCATAGATTCCTCAGGTGTTGGCTTCCAAGTCAGAACCCAACGGCAGCGCATCAAACGGCCACTGTTTCGAGCAGTCTCCTCCTCCAAACTATCAGCACAACGTCGAACAGCTTGATTGGAAATAAAACTGTTGACTTCCTTCGCCTTGGCTCTTTTGAAGAGTTCACGATGGGCTGGTGTAAGTTTTTCCAACCGCACTTCACAATCTCGCATTTTCTGAGCAAGAAACATACTGGGGTTTTCCAGAAGTCGTTTTTGCTGGTGGTCATTTTCAAGAACCAGGTCAAGCTCAAGCACATAGCACTCATCAACCACCTCCAAATACGATAGCAACAGGCCATCCTCATCAACGCGAGCCTTCTTGGACTCAGGCTCAGAAGAGGCTGCAGCTGACTCGCTAGGCAGAAGTCTTGATTTTGAACTACCTGATCGTTCTTCCAAGGTTGGGATGCCGCTACCGAGGCCAGTGTTGCCAAGGTGTTCATCATCATCATCAGGAGTTGCAGCAAAAGAAGGATCATAGGAGTTCACAGGTTGAGCTTCTGCAGCAGGAGGTTGTGCAAAAGTCACCCTCCGAACAGGATGCTTGTAGAAATGCCGCATCATCGGTTTTGGACCAGGGAGAGCTGTTGTGCTGGGATCACTTGGAAGTTGAGGCAAATCCTCTTCATCTTCACTAGGCTCTTCAGGGACACAATCTACAAAGGATCGTTGAGGAATGTAGTTTGCCAAAGACTTCCAATGACTGGGGTCTTCACCAGAATGCAGCTCAAAGTCCAAACGTTCTTGAGTAGTGACCTTGCGAACACTATGAACTGAACATCTGTGCATGGTGCCACCAACAACTACCCACACTATGTGACGGCGTGGATCTTCAGGGCGTTGTCCATTGATGGTCTCGTGAAAAACCACGCGACCAGGCCCCAACCACTGCGGACGAGCAGTCTTCTTCAAACCACCACGAGGACCAACTGGAGAGGTATATTTCCTCCAGATTTTCACCAAATCCATAGGGTGAAAAGTTTGAAGTGGTTGTCGCACCTTGGAGTTCTTGATCTTGTTGATGGTGCGCATAGCCTTCACATAGCGGGCAACATTCTCAGCTTCTTGACGCTTTTTGAGAAGGGCACCATAGTTCAAACCGGCAGCATCATCAGGTGAAAGGCTAAAGCTGGCAATGTCTTCATCAGTCAAAGTAGGTTGAGCTCCATAGACCCATTGAAACGGTGTGTAGCCCTGCACATATTCAGTGGAGTTGAGCGCATGAGTTGCCAGGGCCAAGACAGTTTCAGGTGTCAAGTCGTGTTGGACAACCTGATCTTGGAAGCTACCTCTTTGACCTCTTGAACAGCACGTTCAAGGAGTCCATGTGCCCAGCTTTCCTTCGGTGCTGGTGGGTCCAAAACAATGTTGAAGTCAGAGAGCACCTCACGCATTCGCATAGAGATCATGGACTTGGCATTGTCCGGGATGAGGTACACAGGCTTCGGCTTGTCTTGAAGCCAGAGTTGAGTGAATGCCTCCAGGAGCTGTTCAGTGGTCTCGGTCTTTTGTTCTGACAAACCACACTTCATCAAAATCTTGGTGACCTTGAATTTTGTGGCCAAATCCATCAACACCAACACAGTGCATTTTTGATTCTCATGCGGTGGCGTCCACTCCGTGCAATCCATGCCAACGCATTCCCAGGCTCGTGGCATAGGTCTCATAGAGGCCGGAGGCACTTGTCCGCTCGAAGAGCCTCCCATTTTCAGCGCAGCACAGTCTTCGCAACGAAGAGCAAGGGCAACTTTGACTTGCCATTGTGGACGTCCCGCATCACGCAAAATGCGTGCCAGGTTGAAGTTGCTCGGATGGCCAGCTGACCGATGGTACTTCAGCAACTGGATTTTCCATTGCTCAACTTCTTTGGTGGACGGAACAGCAGGAGCTGATGAAGATGCAGGGAATAAGTCCAAATCCATCCCTGGGCATAAGTCCATTGCCGGGCATAAGTCCAAGGCCCCATCCATCAGTCCTAGAAGTCGAAGCTGTTCATCAGGTTCCACCATTGTTGGCACAGGAGCTTGAAGAAATGAAAGCCACTTGTCAGGAAAAAGTTCTTGGCGCCATCGTTGCGCAATTGATTTGCAAAGCTTCCATGGGTAAAACGCTGAGCGTTGAGTTTCAAGTCCTTGGATTTGATCATGATCATGGCATCCTTGGCAGGTCTTCAACTTGTAGAAGTGGTAGAAGCTTTCGGAGGTAGTGCCAATCCTCCAAGACTTCCGCAAGAATCCGCCGGAGGCAGAACGGAGCCCATAGCGGCAGCCGTCAATTCTGGCGGAATGCCATGACTTGCCAAGCTCTTGTAGCCGATGTTGAAGATGCAAAATCCAAGGCTCATCCCAGCCATAGCATCGATGGGGCCATTCCCAAAAAAGTTCACAAGCCGGGTCATTCTCAAGAATGTCCAAGAGGAAGGGGATCAAAAGTTTGAACATAGCTCGTTCTTTTCGACGGCGTTGTTCCAGGACAACACGCTGCTCTTCCGTCCGAAAATTGAGGGACGTGAAGGGGCACCAAACTGTGCAACGTGTTGAGACCCAGATCCTTCGAGGACGCTCCAGCTTGTATTTCTTCTTCAGCTCCTCATAGACTTTCGGCTTGTAAAGATCAAAGCCTTGAGCCAAGTTGATGCGACTGAACTTGAGGCCCTCACTGCGGCAGGCAGCGGTGAGCCAACTCTCAGGAGAGCAGAACATCTCCCAGCCGTCAACTTGATCACCTTGCAGAAAATCTCGAAGACCAGTCTGGGCAGCAAGTGTCATCATGCCCAGGAAAGCCAAAGTGGCCTTGATGATCTTCCATGAGAGACCTTGTCGCTGATCTCCAGAGTTGCGATCCCTCTCAAAACTGGTAGCCCCTGAAGTCGAAGAGGCTGCATAGTGCACGTCAGTATCAATCTTTTTCTTTTGTTTTTGAGAGTTTTTGAACTTTTTCTTTGCAGGATTTTTGAAATTTTGTTGAGGCTTTTCATCCTCGGGGCACATCATGAATTCAATCTCAGCCGCTAAGCCTTGGGCTGATTCAAGCAACTCAACGTTGCCGTAGTGCTCGGCAGACATCTCGGCATCCACAGTCTCATAGGCCATTGAGAGGTTGCCCATCTTCGTGACATCCTCGATCAAGGTTGGCGACTGCAATGCCGTAGGCTCAGCATCATTCATCCCAAGGTGGGGCTCGGAACTTGCACCAGTTCCAGCTCCGGATCCTCCTTCATCTTCTCCTCCTCCTGATGGCGGCTCTCGGCAATCTGTTGCAACTTGGTCTTCTCCTCCGCACTCAGGTAGCGCCACACATCCGTTGGAACTGATGGGATGGCACCGCTGCTCGGGGAAGGCTTGTTGGTCAGCCTGTTGTAGATCTCCCCATACTCGCGCCTCAGGGCCTTCTGATGTTCCTGAAGACGCTGCAACTTCAGGTGCTGGGCTTCCAACTGCGCTTCGTTGACATGGATCTGGATCATGGTCTCGGCCAGGTCCTTGTCGGGCATCAGAGTGTGGGGACGAAGATCCATCTCGAGCTGCTTCATGGCCATCTCCACAGCCTTGTGGTCCACCTGAGTCGCATGCTTGCCGTGGAAGGATTCCCGCGGGACGTAAGAGACCCTCAGACCACAGATCTCGCACAGGCACCATTGAGCATAGCCGTTGGACTTGGGCACGGAGCTCCTGTGATCGCCGAAACATGGCCAGGAGGTGTGGAGACTTCGATAGTCCCTCTGATCCGCACCGATCTCGCGAGAGAAGTCCAGTGGAGGAGATGCCAACTTCGGGGCCATTGGAGGTCAAAGCCGTAGATGAGGAAGGCTGCTGAACTTGAGATTCAGTAGCTGGAGAAACAACACCATGATTCAAACGCAAACGTCGTTGAAGAAAACCATTGAAAAGATCTCTACGGTCATGTTGTGAACCCATGTGATCATGTGAAGAACCCTCAGCAGTTGAAAGCATGGTCAGCTCAAACCAATCATCACCCCAAGTCTCCTCGTAACCAGGAGTCCAAGCCTGCTCAAGGCTCTTGGCAGCAAATTCAGCTGGGTTGCCGGCCTCGGTCGCAGAGAGGTTGCCGAAGAGATAGTGGGCAATGTTGACCATGAAGTGACCCTTGACGTTTTTCTCCATGGTGTAAGGCTCAGGGTTATCATCATGACCATTCACCGCATGACCATCAGTGAAATCCAAAATCAAACCAGTCTTCTGCAAATAGTCCATGCCAACCAAAATGGGAACCAATAGGTCATCAGTGAACCAATCTTGACCATATTCTGCAGGATTGTTCAACACGTAGAGCTCAAAACATCGTGAAGAATCCCAACTAGGATGGATGACCGCATGATACATAGCACGACCCCATTTGCCAGAACCATATCGAAAATATGGACGCTTTTGGTAGTTGAAACTGACTTGGAGGTTGGGGTCATAGTGCAAAAGGAAACTGATCAACTTCTTGGCTGATGCTTCGGGACCCGCTGACGCTGTTGCGCCACAATCCAACATGCCATGACCAGGAGGGATAGACCTTTGAGTCGAAGCATTCTCATTCGTTGAAAACAACTCCATGGGGAACATGTGGAAACCAGCATCATCATGTGAAGTTGAAAAATCATCGGACACCATCTCAAGGGACCACAAATCCATGCCATAGACGTTTGCAGAAGGCTTGAACTTACCCTTTTGTTGTTGTTTCCCTTTTCCCTTCATCACCGCATAAACATCATGATACCAACCATCATCATTTGACCAAACCATCATGCCATCTTTGGATTTTCCCTTGTAACCTTTTCCCTTTGACTTGCCCATGAGGTAGGACTCGAGTTCCGCGGGAGACAAGTTTTTGCCATACCCCTTTCGACCAGAACCCTTTTGAAAAGAAGGATGCATACGATCAGGACAATCTTTGGCTAGATGATTTCCTCCGCAAAGAAAACAACCAGTGGCACCAAAACCCCTATCCTTTTTCAGCCTTTGTGAAGCTTGTTGGGCTTGGCTCCACGTTCTGCGAGCTTCCATTGCCAGGGCTTCAGCTTGACGCTCAGCCTCCATCGCCTCAGCAAGGGCTTTGTCACCCTCATCATCATCATGTTTATCCGCATCATCGGAAGCTGCGGCTGGTGACTCTGAAAGGGCAGCATTCCAATCCCACGCATCATCAGTTGGCCACTCTTGCCAAAACCCATCATACTCATAGTCAGTGGGCCATGTTGACTCATGCCAAAATGAAGACATAGAGGATTGAGAAGTTGCACCATGCCACTTGTTACCACCACCTAGCTGATCATCCCATAATGTTTGCAGTGCATTGGAGATACTCAAATAGTCCAATTTGTTACCAGTGGTCGCCAGAACATCACGCCACTCATCCGGGGACAGTGAGGCAGCAACAAGCAAACGCCACCCACGCAGCACATCCAAAATAAAGGAATCCATGGAACTTAGTTCAGGATGCTCAGAAACTGGACGAACTGTTGTCTTCCTAGATGGTGATCCACGAGCTGGAGAACGCACTGGAGATTCTGCTGGACGCTCTGAGCCATGGTCAGACTGTTGAGGGACATAGGACAGGCTCATACCCCTCGCGATCTGGAACATCGTCAGCATCATTCGATTTGTTGTCATCACCTGTATTGTCATGCCAACCAGTCCAGTCACGCCAGTCACCCCGATATCTCCAATACTTATCCTCATCATCAGTATCCGGTGAAATCTCAGGCAAATCAAAGTTCCGACTTGCAGGATCAAGGCCATCGCGCTCGGCCTTCAGTTGCAAAAGTGCTTCACTGAACTCTTCAAAACCCAGAGTCTCTATGACCAGAAAAGCTCCTATGTGTTCTTGGGGCCGACGCTTGAATCCAAAGTATTCAGACATGATCGCAGCAGCATTGGGTAATGATCTCCGCACCAATGGGGATGCTGATAGCCTCTGCAAAAGCAAGGCCACACCTCGTTCGCCCTCAAACTCCCTTTGGGACCAGGACATTGCTAAGAGTCTGGCCGAACCGGTCAGACGACTGATCAACTTGCTGGCAGCATATTTCCGCTGTGACGACTTTGTCGAACCAACAAACCAACCAATCTCTTTCACATACCGCCTCCATGTTCTTGATGAACCATCCCATGAGGGAACTGAAGCATCACCTCTGTCCTTTGACAGCATAGCCACCACGGAGTCGCACAGGGAGCAAGGCCAAGGAGCTAGCCGACGCTCCGCTACCAATGCAGGTAGCTTGAATGATGTTCAGGTTCCAACGCCAGTTCAGCCAAGAATCGTCCAATCCGTTGCTACCAGTCGCAGACAAATAGTAAAGGATAATCGAAACACACACACCACGTAAATGTCTTCTCTAAGACACAGATCAAAGCGGACAGCTCAAGTCCTTTTCATGGCGCAGCACACATGTCGGCATTACAAGAGGGCCCTCTGTTTTGGACCAAAGGATGGCGGTGTGGTCGAAGAACTCATACCTGCACAACGGTGAGAAATCAGATCAACTGCAGAATGTCATCATCCCAACTGAATTTCATATTTTTCAGAGGGGTTGAAACCACCAACCAGATATGAATTTCCCAGCTAGAACCCCCTCCATTTAGTTTGGCTGGATTTTCCAGCCACGTTTGAGTCCCAGAACGTAGCTGAGGTGGGGTATTCCCCTGGGATTTTGGGATATATAAAACATGACCTCCAGTCATGGTTAGGTTTAATGGATTTTAATGGGATGGTTTATCATTGGCTTTACCCCATTCTAGTCACTTAAATCACTTAACCTGGTAATCGTAAGTCCCCTAACAGCAATGGCTTATCCATATAGAAAAAGGCTGAACTAACCATGGTTACGAAAACCAGTGATGTACTAAGAGGGTGATCCCCGTGGAAAGATATACCGTTGAGGCTTTGCCACTACGGTTATCCCATGGGCTTTCCCCACGAAGATGTTGCCTGCTCAAGGGCCTGGCACCGAAGGTTTCATAGCCACATCTTAATCTTGTTTAAACCTTCATGTTTGCTTCTGATTCTGTCTATAGTCTATACATATGTATATATATATATATATATAATTACCTATGTATATACATATACATATGTACAAAATCTGCCCCCATCAGTGTTGTTATTCCAGTTATTATGGATACAATGCACATCATGTTGATTACATCTCCCCAATTGTGGTGAATTGCACTGCCAAATTTTGCTGGCTACTCCAAAAGAATGGTAACAAGTAACAACCCATGACTTTTATGTGGTGACATACTAAAACCAGACGCCATAAGGAGATCATCTTAAATCGATGGGTTTAAGGGTCAAATTTACAGGAAAGCCCCATGATTTTGATATTTTCAATGGGAAAAAGTATGGTTTCCTGTGGATTTTCCCTTAAAGACCCATGTTTTTTTGTCACCCTTGACAGCATTGGAGTCTCCGAGACGACGACGGGGCCATGTCGGCGATGACCTCGCGAACCTCGCGAACCTCGATGATGTCGTGCCTCGGATGTTTTTGTTCTGAAACAAATGGGAGGTTTGGAGCCATCCGGGGAGAAACATGGTGAAACATTGGGGGAAAACATGGTGAAACATTGGGATTCAACGAATGTCAACTTTTAAAAGAATCAAGGCTGTTTGAGTGCTGGTGCACTGTTTCGGGGTCAGCCACTTAGAAACTGGATGAAATCTAGCTATGTCAGAATCAGGCCGTCCACAATCCGCGAATGTTTGAAGCGAAGGTCCCAATTCCCCACGTTTTCCCTTAAAAAATATATATATATATAATATTTTCACAAAACCCCTATTGTTCTTAAACCCCAATTCTTAATGTTTTTTTACTTCCAAAGCGCCCAATTAAATTCCTATAAACTTCCTGTTCTGTTAACCCCATATTTGATGCTTTAAGTCATTTTAAGTCCTGGAGGCTCTGCCTTTTAACCAGGCAAACCTCCGAGTACTATGACATGTACAACGAGACCTCACGGCCCGCGCTGCATCGCGCCAGGTGGGGCCCAAGATGAGAAATTTGTTGGCCATTTTTTTGCAGGGCTTCCTTCAAGTCTATGCTGTGTATTGCTTTGTAACATTTATCATGAATCATTGTTTTTTGTTTAGGGTGTGTACCTCTTTGTTTTTGGGACCTTATTTGTTGGCCTCCCGACCTCCCCTTGAAATCCTGATAATGTGGTGAGTGACATAAATCGTAGCCAATTTTGATGAATTCTGGCCAATTTGGGAATTATGAAAGACAATATTGCAGAAAACGGATTGATTCTGGGAAGCACTCGAATATTGAAACATATGGGGTTCGCAGTTTCTTGTGCCTAACCCCATCCATGAACAGAACTATCGTTTTTTCATGTTTGTCATAACGAATGAAAAGCCCAAACCGAAGCCCAACATTATTTATATACCTCCTGTAAACTACCAGTTCGATGTGGGTTTCACTCAGCATTTGTAGATCATTCGGCGGGGGACACCTTGGAGCACAGGTCTGAGCTCGAGAGCTACAGCGAAGAAGACTTGTGGGATCCAGAGCATGTGGAAGCCCGGCCATGACGGTTTCGGCTACGGGACCCGGGGGACCCCCATATTTCTCATCCATTGGACCAAAGGATTTCCAGAGGATTTTTTTCCATGAAAAACACCATCCATTTCCATAGGGGTAGCTACATTTATGGAAACCTCCAACCCTTGGGTAATCTGCTCCTGATGTGGAAAAACATCTGGTTTTCCATTCGGAAAACGTAGACATGGTGGGTTAAACCCACATCTATGTTCGTTTACAGGAGGGTAGACTATGGTCATGCATTTTATATGCAAGCATCTTATTTAAGCGGATATTTAACATCATGCTCACTTTGGTTTGTTTTTGGCTTTCTCCCATAAATAGCGTAACAAACCTGATCTTATACTTGCAAACCCAACGATATCTAAGATTCTTGAAGACTAAGAAGAGCCTGGCAGATTTGAATTTGAAGACTTGAACTCGAAGACTTGCATGGAAAAGCCCTGGGGTATTTAGATGAGCCATGGGGATTAGCAAAAAAAGGCCAGTAGCTGGATCAAAACCATGGCTAATCCCAATTATATTCCATTTATCTGGGTAAATTATAACGACCTCACTGTTCTCCCTCACTGGGAATAATGGTTAGTAAGGGGAATCATCCCCAACATAGCCTTATTTCAGGTTAGTGAAATATTATGATTTACCCAGATTTATTGATTAGTTAACTAACTCCATGGCCCATCAAAGACGACGTGTTTGGGGGGTTCAAATCGACGCGGCCTTCGCACGATGTCCAGTGATTGATGGAGGCATTAGCTCATTGCTCCTTGTATAACCACAGGAGACATCAGGAGACCCACATCCCAATAACTTCGATTGTTGTTCTTTTCTGTTTGTTACCATTTGAATCCATTTGATCATATCAATCCGAAAAGTTCGAATCGCTGCGTTCATTAGAGGCTTCCCAAACCTCCACAAGGTACATCCAGCCCTTTTCCAATGGTCTCCAGGGGTGACAATAAGGCCAGGGTCACCCGCAAGCTCTTTCCGAAACACGACAAGGATAGGACAGGCGAGGGGGTGCAACTGGGAACTCAGACTGGTTACTTGGTTGTTATAGGGAGTTATACTGGGTTATTGGCGATGATCATAGCCCATAGTGAAACTTATCAACCAGTACTGGTTGGTGGTTTGGAACATTTATTTTCCATAGTATATGGAATAATAATCCCAACTGACTTTCATATTTTTCAGAGGGGTTGAAACCACCAACCAGAGTACAACGAGATGGGATAGGGCAGATATAAATTGATGGCTCACTTTTCGTCGGCAAATCTTTTTCGAGATTGCTGTTGTATGATCCCTGGACATTTCACTCCTGAAGCTGACCTTTGATTTTTGGATGCTATGATGATATATCATGAAATATAATGATATAATGTCTATATATATATATTGTAATATATTATATAAGTCTATCTAGAATAAGTCAAACCTGGCTTAACAAACCCTGGATCACCAGTCTCTTAACTTTCATGCGGGCTTCACTCATTATCCGATATCACTCTCCTGTGGCGGTCAGTTCAGCCTGGTGCCCTGCTGTTCACCCCCTACTGTAAGTGGTTTATTCGGATGTTCATCCCCACTATGGACAATTGTAGGTTTCAACCCATCCAAAAATATGATTATGATTTCAAATCCCATAATTTTCATTGGTTGAAACTCCATCTTCCCTCATATTTCGTTAAGTCCCAAGATTTTCACATTTTGGGGGCCCCTTCCTGGAAAACGACCATGCACTGGTGCCAGGTCGAATCGATTGGGCCTCCGGAGAAGCCAAAAAGTTCCTGGAGGAGTTATGGGGCAGGATGTTGGGGTGGTTTCCAGGCGTGGGTCACGGGCGAAATCATAATTCATCACGGGTGTATATGATGGGATACGTATGTAATATATAAATATCAATATCAATTTATATATTATATATATACATCAATACACACATATATATATATGTATGTCAATACACGCATATATATATATATATACCAATACACACATATATATATATAGAGATATCAATACACACATATATATATATAGAGATATCAATACACACACACACACATATATATATATATGTACATATCAATACAT